ACTGATAAACAATTGAAAATCATCATTTATACAAAGTTTGATACGAAAATCCTAAAAATTTCATAAATTGTCAATGTAAACGCTTTATATCTCAAGAAATATCAATCTTAGCGATTCAACTGATAGGACCTTTTTTAAAAAAGTTTAAATATTCTACAAGTTTGTTCTTTACATTTTTTCAAAGAATCCAGTCACTTTTGAAATATCTTCAAAAATATGATAATTTTTCACTAAAATAAGATTTAGTGACCCGTACCATCCTACATGTGCAGATTACAGCTATGGCACATAAAGCATTTTTGTAGAACTTTTGATTACGAGTAAATCCTTTTTTGAAACAATCCAATAGCATAAAATGCGGCTGAGATATAGATATTTAAAAAAAAATAATCAAAGTTTACGTGTATTTTAAATGGGAAATCTTTATACGCTTTGGTCGAGTACTTTGAGTTAATATTAAGGGCTCAAATTTTCAGGGAATTTTTTTTTGAACATTTTCAACAAGATTTTGAGTTGGGAGCGAAAAAATAAAAATTGTCGTGAAAAAAAAAATCACCCTAATATATATATATATATATATACAGGGTGAGTCATAAGTGGTGAACTTCCCGAAAGGTGCATGTGGGGGGGCCTTAATATAGGTAGGGAAAAATGTTAAAAAAATTCCAAACGAAAAAATGACCGAGGAATTCAGGTCTTAAGTTTTAAATTTAACTTTTTTATTATTTAATATTTTTCCACCTTATATGATTTTTACTGAAGAGTTTAGGGTTCTTAAATATTTCCTAGCAAAAAAATTGCCCAAAAAAGTGTATTTTCTTTTAATTTTAATGTTTTAGAATGATTTTTTAACAATTAAAATGATCTGGCAACTTTGTTGACGTTTATATTTTTTGGTGTTTTCTGGTTATTATTTTGTCGAGTCTATTTGTAATCAACAATGCGAAAATTAAGTTTGACGTTTATATTTTATTTTTTTGGTTATTATTTTGTCGAGTCTATTTAATAAAATGTACACCAATCAAGAATATGTGAATATGATGCTGGTACTTGGATTCTGTGAAGAAAATTGCAATGAAGCAGCCCGGGTATACGCAGCAAGATTCGCTGACATAACCCACCCATCGCCGGGAGTTTTTAGATGGATGATGGTCAAAGCTAGAGAGACTGGATCTCTAATTCCCACGGCAGGTCCTGACCTTGGTCGGCCTCTAGAGATTGTACCCGAAGCCGATGAGTTAATCATCCAGCTGATTCAAGAAGGAGAAGTTCCATACCACTACACTAAAGTTCAGGCTCTTAACAACAACGATTTCGGTTTGCGTTTAAATTTTTGTATTTTGGTTATTGGGAAAAATTAATGAGGATAATGATTTTTTAACTCGTATTTTATGGCAAATTTTAGTAGGGATGGGTATTTTAATAGTAGAAACTGCCATTATTATAACCAAGAAAATCCACATAGAAAATGGGAATTTAATCATCAAAATCGCTTCAGTGTAAATGTTTGGGTTGGGATAATTAAAAATTGGGTTATTGGGTCTATCATATTACCGCGGCGGTTGAATAGGGATCAATTTTTAAATATTTTGGAGAACGAAATTTCTAATGAAATTAACAATTTACCCTTGGCCACATTGCGCAACATGTGGATACAACTGGATGGTGCCCCACCTGATTTTGCCGCTCCTGTTAGAAATTGGCTAAATGAACAGTAACCTAACAGGTGGATAGGTCGTAACGGCCCAGTTTCTTGGCCTCCTAGGTCGCCAGATTTGACCCCGCTTGACTTCTTATGGAGTCATGTTAAAGCATTGGTGTACCAAACACCGGTACATAATGAGGAGGAACTAATACTGCGTATTCGAAATGCTTTAACAACTGTGACCCCAGAAATGTTGACCCATGTACAAGTTAGTACAAGAAGAAGACTGGAATTGTGTTTGGAAAATTAGGGGCATCAATTCGAGCAATTTTTGTAATGTTTGTTCATGCTTCTTTATGTTATTTTTTTCATAAATTTTTATTTTGTTTGATTTTGGTTTTAATAATTATTATTTAAGTATTATAATCACAACAACTGTCTCATTGCTGTCTTTTATTATGACAGTAATGACAACAATATAAGCACGTAACAATTCAAATAAGTTCCTTAGTTACTTCAATTAAAATGAAATCTAATAATTTCCTGTAACATTGTTAGTGTTTACACGTTGCCAAAATTCTCTTTTGAGTTCTTGGCCATAACTCGAGTACCAAAGCAGATAGATTTTTTTAAACATTTTTCCCTACATATATTAAGGCCCCCCTACATGCACCTTTCGGGAAGTTCACCACTTATGACTCACCCTGTATATTATATAATAGTTGCATAAAGGTAAAATGGTAAAAATTAACTTTGGAATAATATTTCTTTTTAACGGATTAATGAACTTAAATGAAAACATATTTTAAAAATATTATTCGTATAGATTATATAAAGTAAACGCTCGACAAAAAGGTATCTTATTATTTTTAATAAATCTGCTTGTTAAGTTATTTGAGCTTAAAATTACATTTATGATACATTTCAAGTTTTTTTACTTTTCCGCTAAAACTATGGTTTAAACCATTAAACAAATAATGACATATTTTTATGGAAAATAAAATCTACAAAAAATGTATGATCATTGTTAACGTTAACATTTATGTTATAACATTTTGTGACAAGTCTGATGTTTTTTTTGGGAAAGTAAGAAAAAGATAAAATTTGCTATGAATTTGTCTTAAATAATTTTTCCACGAGTAGATTTATCTCAAAATAATATATTATTTACGTATACGTAAACTTTATTGTGGAGCGTTTAATTCTCTAAAATAAAAGTTCTAATCATTCATTACTACGTTAACGAGTTAATTAACTCTAACATAAAAAAATCTTATGTACCTACTTACTTTAAATGTAAAATCACAAATAGCAACCAATAATATTAATGGGTGATATTTTATCAGGCTCATGAGGCTTTTAAATTTTATAGAAAAAAAATAGTCAATTAATATACTGCAGTATAAAATAATCTTTTTTACAAATTATATAATAATCTTTTTTACATATTATAATATATGTATGAGTACATTAGATGCAAAACTCGGTTTTTGCAAATTTTTAAAAATATATATTTTATCCTATTTATGTACATTACTGCACTGTCTACAGCATAACTAAGTAAACCAGATGTAGGTATAAGTTAGTATTTGTAGAATAAAATACATTTAAAAACTGGGTATTTGTTTCTTCCTGTCGGATGCAAAACTCGGTATTTGCAAAACTTGGTATTTGAACGAGGAAGATGCAAAAATATTTTGATTACAATTATTTACTAAAATACCTAATTTTAAAGGATTTTTTTTACCTTTTTAAATAAAAATTATGCAAAAGCACGTCTATACAATTTTTTTTTTCAAAAATGATCTTATGAGCGGTTTTTCATGTTTTTATTAAAATCACTTATCCTGCAAATACAGAGTTGTGCATATAATGTACTCATATATAAAGGCCGCTAGCAGCTAAACAAAGCAATTTTTATTTGGGTAAGTTGGGTTAAGTCGAAATAATTTAAACCCAGAAATATGTGGCCTTCTATTGTACAGGTCTTAGCCCGATACTTTGTATAAATGCTAGAATGTTTTATTTATGTTATTCATTAATTTTATTAAGAATAAGTGTAATTTTTTCTTGTTTTTTAATTTTTGACGTAGGAATTTGTTGTTTTGTTTTGTACATATATAAATAATTATTGATAGACCCACAAAGAGCTTTAGCCCAGGGCCCCCAAAGTCAACGGTCCACCCCTGCTCGCGGCGCACACTTTGGAAACTTCTGTGTTAATAATGCCATAAAATAAAAATCTATATGGTTCTATCTGGTTCAATATATAGTATAGTATAGTATAGTATATATATATACAATTTGAAACAGGCAATGCACTATTGAACCAGATAGAATTCCATACATGGAAAACCATATAGAAAAGTGATTTCTATATGGATTGCCATATAGGTTCAGATTGAACCATATATGGTTCAATATATTGGAGCTCTATATGGCCCAATATGGTTTGGGTATGAAAAAATTATTACCATATAGATCCATATTTAACCATATAGGGGAATCTATATGGTTTAATATGCAATTTTCGTTTAAATACATATACATTTTAAAATGGAATTTCATATTCAACCATATAGGGAAACCTATATGGAAAGACACATAAAACAGAAACCAGATAAATCCATATAAAAATCCCTAAGTTGTACATTTTAAAATGAAATTCCATATTAAACCATATAGATTCCAAATTGTAAACTAGGTCGTTCCATATGGGACATATAGAACCATATAAATCCATATTAGTTTCCTTATCTGGATCAATATGGGTTCTATAGGGCATTTTTAATAGGGTAACACTATTTTTAACCTATTTATTATCATATGTTTATAATATATCTTTTATAGCCTACTCACATATTAATTATATAAATCAATATACAAGTTAAGGAAAATATAATCACTTTAACAATTATCGAGCCTAATTAATAACACTAATTATAATTATTACATAATATTTAAATTGTTAAAATACTTAAGTTTAAATTTTAATGTCAAACTTTACCAAATAAATGCACATATTTGCCGCATTTCTATTTTGACTATTTATTCTATTCTATTATATTTATTCTATATAATATAATACCTATATTATAGAATAGAATATATTGTCTAAATAATGAATGAGGGACCAAATATGTGCATTTATTTGGTTATTTGACATTAAAATTTAAACTTAAGTAAATAATCCATTTAAATAATACATTTTTAAACTATCCAACAAAAAACGAATAAACAATTAACTAGATGCTACTAATTAACAATAAGTTAGGTTATATGCTATAATTATTGCAGGTAATTTAAAATTGTTCTGAACCTCTTTTTTGAAAACAATTCAATAATAAACACTTACCCGTCGAGAAAAAAAGCGCGGTCCAGCACCATAATATTGGGGCAAATTTCATAGCTGCCCCATGCTATCAAAGTTCCGGAACACAAGTCTGAGACTTCAGTCTCCCGAACGGCAGCCAAACACGGACTATTCCTGCGAGTCCTGCTGCCATGCGAGCAGAATGCGCGCGTTCTTTTTGCAAGAGACGCGAAAATCAAGGCATGCTAAGCAGTCAGATCATCGGACCTACTCAATATCTGAAAGGCTGACAATAAGTATTTAATCCTGTATATTTTAGGATTCAAAAATAAGTCGTGCTTTTAAGGAAATTATAATAGTTGTTAAGTGTAAATAGAATAGTTCAAGTCATTTAACTTAAAAATAGAATATCTACTGTATTGAATAAATACTTTATACTAATTATACGACAGAAAATAAATTCCCCAGGACGTTAACAGATTCGTGAAGGGCTTTTTTGGGCCAGTACTTCAACACTTTTGTGCCATCCTTAAATTTTACAATAGAGTCATTCCATATGAAATCAACAAATTTGAATTAAAAAGTGGGCCGCATGATTTTTGATTTAAATACAAAAAAATGAGGATAATCTTTGAGGTACCAGAAATGCTAATCCACCATTTTTTTTATCGTATAACTTCTAGTCAGTACCCATCCAAAGTCAAAAATTGGGTCAATTTCATACTTGTACATAATGGGCTCTAGCTTTTAACTTAAAATAGGTATTTAATTTATTGATGCTTTATTTGATTGGGTAGTAAATGAACATTTCATATTATAAAATAAAATTGAACAGTAACAACTAGGAACCAAATGCTGACAATCTAAAATTTACAAAGAAAATTCTCATTTTTATTATTTTTAATTGGACCCTGTGTCAACCCAGTTGGACATTAAGGTTTGATTTTTTTTAGAAATATAGTATTAACCATTCTGATGCCATGACTTAACTTTAATTATTCTAGAATGATATTGTGAAAATTGATAAACTTAAAAAATGCTTAACTTAGATCCTCAAAAAACTCATGTGGAGGAAAAAATAATTTGATATGTTCACAAATTGTAGTCTATATCTTCGTTAATTACGTCCAGTTAGTGCCATTCTGTTTTTTTCACTTCCTTAGGAAATATGATTTTTTTAAGTGCTACTTTTAGAAAAATCAAAACAAAGTTTTTTACACTGACATTAATGGCCGCATGCAAAAAATGTTTATTAAACTCTGATCAAATTAATCCGACGATTTAATTTGATCAATGATTTAAGTTTTGCCAATTTGGCAACACTGTATGACTCCCTAAAAACGTATAATTAATAAACCTAATTAAGTAATTATCTTTAAAATGTGTATATTTTCCCTTAAAAGTCAACTTCTATGCACTAGCAATTACATACTTAAGTCAAGTAACCTGTGACTTGTGTCCAACCAATAGCATCATCATAAATCAGGCCGCCTGATGCCGGGATGCCAGAATCCGCTAAATTTTGTTTAAATGCACCTTAATTACAAAAATGATACAATTAACAATAATGAATAACGTCAAATTGACAATTTAAATTGTATCATGTGTCATTTTTGTAATTAAGGTGCATTATAACAAAATCTAGTGAATTTTATTGACAGATTCAGGCGTTCTAAATTAAATTAGAGCATAAGCAGTGATTTAACAATAACTTAATACCATGGTAAAAATTGCAATAAATGTTTATAACCATTACAAAACCCAAAATCCACACAAAACCCAAGAAATATGAAAAAATAGTAAACGGGTTTTCTATGGCAACTGACAAGTAAATGTTGTTACCAGGTAGCTACGTTTTAGCTGCTGTCGTGTACACGCTTACAAAATATAGACTTTATTTAAAAATAAGTTTGACAACCAAAAAATTTTTACCCTCTTATTTTACTGTTTTTACGTGAGTGTTTTTGCTGTTTATTTTCTATCATTAACAAGTTACGCAAACTCAACAATTTATTTATAATAATGGAGTGTTAAATTGGTGTTTTTAAAGAAGAATATTTACCCATAATATCAAATATCATCGATAATTAACCATACCACGAGTTATATTTAGTGAGAAAATATAATGAATTTTAGTATTTACCGAATTGTCAGTTTGACATTTGAAATTAAAATGTGCTTTAAAATATAAAAAGACTTTAATAAACCTTATTTATTCAAACTTACCTTAATTTTATTATCATTTACACCAACCCATCGATCTTTTAGAGTTTATAATTCAATATTTTAATCATTTAACAAACTCAGTATTTAAATGTCAACAAATGTCCAATCGAGAAAAGTGTCAAAATCCTTAGCAACGTGTAAACAAGGTGATAAAAAATATTGTCGCTATGATAAAATGCGTAACCATGGAATACTGGCATTTTATTGGTTCTAATTATAATTAATTGTCACAAGAATATTTCTTCGAGATCATCATGACTCAAAGCAGCGAGCGAGATAAGTGAAAATTTTAAAATTATCCTAGTTAAGAGTACAGGCATTCCTTCTATTAATAATATTTGTGAATATCATTACAAAAAGTACCACGTAGTTAAATTTTTTGACATAAAATGTTAAGAAAAATATCACAAAACCATTAAGGGAAATAACATTATCGTTTTGCAGGAACATAAACAAATTAACCTTATTCCAGGCTTCGCTATTTGTACCCGATGCTAAGATTATATAAACGAGAATTATTGTGCTCCAAATTTAATTACGATGTCTCGCAACAACCAGAATTTGAACTTGCTTTATTTTTTTGTTTAACTTGTTGTTTTTGCGTTCGGTAAGGTTCGAATTACTTTTTAGTGTTCAAATTATTGTTATTGCTTTGTGTTAACTTGTTCTGTTTGTTTATTAATGTTTTTGTGTTGCGTTAAATTGTTTTGTTTGTGTTTTAGTTTGTGTCGTGTATTTGCATTTATTAAAATGCGGTGTGGCATATTTGGATGCAATTCGGACAACCAGTCCAAGAAAAAACCTTTAAATAAACACATTAAATTTAATCGATTCCCTAAAAACTTTGAATTGTTCAAACAGTGGTTAAATGCCACAAAAAGAATAGACAATATTAACGTTAAGACCGCTTCTGTTTCCTATAAACATTTTCTGGACAGTGACTATAAGTTTAATTTAAAACACCAACGCTTAAACCACAGCCCTAAATGTCATCAAGGACTGAAACATCTATCATCCATATTATAACACTTTCTTTAATATTAAGTTTAATAAAAACGCACTATGCCCAGATATTTCTCTATTTTCTTTGATAATATTACTATTATTCATGTATTCGCACGGCAACTACTCATCAAGTGACGTCATGCGCGGCACGAACCAAAACTCGTCCGCCGGAGCATCCAGCCCTGGTATGTCAAGAGATCGTGTATTACTAATCTAAGCTATTTCTGCTTTGTTGTGGTGAATAGTTGGAAAAAAAGGATATGCAATAACAGAACCATTGAAATATGCATATTTACATTACTTGGTTTTGCTATCAGAAATTTGAACAAAACGTGGACACCGACATTGTTTTGCAATAGTTGCAGAGCTGTTTTATACAAGTGGTCGAATGGCGAAAAAAATAATTCGATTTTTTAGTTCCAGTAATAGATATAGATAGATAGATATATTTATTTACCTTCAAAATTTACAATACTATAAAATGTACAAGAGACATATGAATAAAAAACGCAATAAATTAGTTCACTAACTACACAAGTTTAAAAATATTAAGAAAAAATTAAAGATAAAAAATTTATATAAATAAGGTAACAATACATACATTAGAAATTTAAAAATTCATCTATTGAATAAAAAACATTTTGGATTAAGAATTTTTTTACAGTCTTTTTAAAAAGTGTTTTGTCCATCTTTCTAATCTCTTCTGGAAGCTTATTTAATAGTTGCATTCCCAAATATACAAAATTGTTCTGAGACTTCTGCAAACAACATTTAGGTAGAACCATTTTGTCTCTATTTCCTGTTTCAAAATTGTGATTTTGTGCGTGTGTTAAGTAGTTGGTCTGATTTTGATGTATGTAGCACACTGTGCTACTACATACATCAAAATCTAAGCACAGACAGGTAAGTATGGAGCAGCTTGGAATGGTAAGTATTTAAAAGATTGTAAATAGTTCTCTACAGCTTGTTGTTGGCGGTGCTCCGATTATTGCTCTACCCTAGTAGAAATTTGTCCAGTTTTCCTTACTACTGGTAGGGCGCTGGTTGGATTTAGATAGGGAAAAACTAGAAAGGGAAATCCTAGATCGGCCCCGACTAGGAACTAACCAGTAAAACTTGCCTAGTTGTGGCTCGGCTCCGACTGACTAGTTCACATCTAGTTTCCCTTATTAAATCCCAGTCTAGGCTGAGTCAAGTTTTCCTCGCCATAAACTTGTAAGTAAATGTATGGAAAATCTTTAAGATCAATCTTAACATTCCATTCGTATCGATCGATATAATTAAAACATAATGACAATAATTGTTATAACAATTATTGTCATTCTTACTCTTAGAATGGATTGTATTAAACGTTTTACAATTTAAATATATTTGATTTACAAGGCTTCTCTCGGACAAAAATTTAAGGAATTATGTTTTTGAGATGCTTCTTTGTTTCAAAGATAAAAGTTGTTTAATTAAACACCTTTAACTTAAGTTAAACTGGGAAAAAATTTAAGATTAAGATTTTTTGGGTGAGATTTAAGATGAGGGTGTATATTTAACATGCCTGTAGAAATCAAATGGACAAACACAATTTGTTAATATTTCAAATAACTTTTATAATATTTGCGTCCCGTCTCACTAGATGGCACCACGATTTTACAGATAATAAATAAATTTTTAAACCTACCTATCGAAGTTGGTAGACCTGCTTGTGACGATGTTGGTAGACCTGCTTATGTGACATAAGTTATGTCATTCTTTTTTGTGCTTTATGGTAACCACCAGGGTTGGGTATCTACCTACATTTTTGTTTTCGACATGTAGAAAACCTTTTTCGACGTTTTCGACGGTAGAAAACGTAAAAAAGTAGAATACTGTCAAATATCAAAAAATGTGAGGTTATGCAAGTTTGTTGTTTATTATAATTTGTTAAATGTTGTGAAAAATCAGACACCTACCATAAATTTGAAGTTATTTAGAGTTTTTTAACATTATTATGGT